TTTGTGTCAATGCCTTTAGTCGTATTTAGCATACAGAGCTAGACCTATACTTTATAGACCAACCGGTATTGTGTGGGTGATGTGATCAACATCACAACGACCGCCTTTACTTCCCAGGACTTCACCTGGTACCCAAATGAGGCTGGGTCGATCTCGAAGCCGTGGTCATTTAAAAAAAAGTCCAGATCCGTCAGGACCTGAACCCAAAACCTTCAGTTCCGCAGGCGAGCGCCTAGCCACTACACCACGGCGGCTCACAGAATGTTTTGTGGTCTTGTAGGAAAGAAACGCAGACAGGAGACGGGTCACACAAGTTTGTTCTGCCGTGATGTTGAACTGAGTTGAGTCAAGAATTGACATCATAGCACTCGGGGCATTCCCATACGCGCTCCGTACCCATCCTCAGCACCCAGCGCAGAGTTCCAATACTAATGGTGCCGGTCGTAGTCTGGTTTTATGTCCGCCTTGCATTTCCTCTGAGCGTAGCGTGCCGGCCGAACCCTCTGGTCACACCCAGGTGCATCATTCTCTTATGCCGATTTACCAACTACGTATGTGCTGCAAATTTGTTTTCGATTGTAGAATTTAATTATTCAAAAAGTAATTGCTTTTTTAAATAATTTCATTCTACAGTCTAAAACAAATAACTTATTTGTCTTCAAAAATGAGACTAAAATAATACGATGTATCAACATTTGAAGTGATCCGCTAGGTACACACTTCACAATCCTGATACAGCTGAAAATCGTGAAGAGTATATATTAATAACCGATTCACTGATATCATTAAAAATGTGACGCCTTCTCCTAACATTAATGGGAAGACCAGAGTAACTGTAACATCCAGAAAACAGATGAAACATAACAGTGCAGTAAAAGTTAATAGCATTTTAATTCGGCCAAGTACGGAAACTCAAGTGTGTAGATTCATGGATAGCATGAAATTGAAGACTTTATATAACAGATAAGGACCAAAATAGACAGGTAAAGGCTGAATTCTATACGAAAAACATCTTTTGCAATAATCTCTGTTGTTGTAGGGGTTTTATATATAACCAGTCTGATAAAATCTTTGTTGTTGAGGGGTTTTATATATATAAAACCAGCCTGATAAAATGACTGAACCCGGGACATTTTGTAAACTTTTTCTGTTCTTACCCGGGACATTTTGTAATCTTTTTCTGTTCTTTTGTCCTATGTCTAATGCCTAAATGCGTCAACAGAGGAGTTAGATATAATTTGTTTTATCCGGAACAATTCGCAAACTTCGTTTGTACTACTCCCTATGCATAGAAGCGTCACAGAGGGGAGTTAGATGTAGATTCTTTTATGCGGAACAGTTTGTAAACTTCTTCCTTTCTTTGGTAGTATTCCTTATGTACAGAAGGGTCACAGAAAGGAGTTAGAAGTGTTTTCTGTTATCAGGAAAAGTTGGTAAACTTCTTCTTTTCGTTTGTACTATTCCTTATGCATAGAAGGGTCACAGAGAGGAGTTATGTGTAGTTTCTTTTATCCGGAACATTTTGTAAGCTTCTTTTTTTTTTTGTACTACTCCTTATACATAGAAGCGTCACAGAGAGGAGTTAGATATGGTTTCTTTTATCCGGAACAGTTTGTAAACTTTTTCTTTTGCACTACTCCTTATACATAGAAGCGTCACAGAGAGGAGTTCGATATAGTTTCTTTTATCCGGAACAGTTTGTAAACTTCTTCTTTTGCACTAATCCTTATTCATAGAAGCGTCACAGAGAGGAGTTAGATATGGTTTCTTTTATCCGGAGCAGTTTGTAAACCTCTTCTTTTGCACTACTCCTTATACATAGAAGCGTCACAGAGAGGAGTTAGATGCAGTTTCCTGCCTCGCGTTTGTTGCGTAGTTTGTTTCAATGTCATATTACTTTCAAGTAGTGTCTCTTTTACTCCGTTCATCTATGTCTTTTTATGTCGGCCTCTTGCGTTGTAGCCCACTGTTATCATGAAGTACTTGTAGCGGCTGCCTGAATTTATTCCATTATGACTAGATGACCGAATCGTTTGAGACTTTCATGTTCCATGAAATCATTTACCGGAATGTGCGTAAAATTGTTGTTAGTTCTTTGTTTATCGACTCTATCGCTTCTTGTTTTTTCCGCCACTTTTCCTATACATCTCAACTCACACGTTGTGATTTTGCATTTGTGTTTTTCTAGGACTGACAACAAGCACAAAAAATTCCAGCGAGACCATATGCATATAGTTAAATATTTTTACAGATGAATATTTAAAACTTTTTATTAATAAGCTCAAATAGGAAATTTAAATGTTTTGAAAGAGTTTTAATCCATACACACTTCTTCTTCGGTATTTGCCCTTCAATATGCGCTTGGTACACTCTGTTGTGGTTTACAGCTGGACTACTGTCAAGGACCTGATATCTATATTATTGAACTAGGGCTCGCTGTACGGCCCTGTGACAGACAAACTATACCAAAACACACTCAACACATACACAAATGAAGCAC